ATGTGAACTGGGCTTATGTCCCCATAAGAAACTGTGGGTCCTCACCAGGCTGTGTAGTTTGCTTCATCTCTAAAGAGATGCTGCTCTTTNGGATTTGAACTGGGCTTATGTCCCCATAAGAAACAGTGGGTCCTCACCAGGCTGTGTAGTTTGCTTCATCTCTAAAGAGATGCTGCTCTTTAATATTGTTTATTTACTGTCTTAGTTGTGTGTGGTGTTTAAATTTACATTTTGTTTTTCTTTGTTTTTTTTTATTCAAGTGCATTTTTTGTTAGAGACTGAGAGTCCACTTTGTTAAACATGCTTTTAAAAGTTAAAGTTTATTCATTTATTACACTTACATATTACGCTTTTATAATTATTAGTTGTAAAATGGTCACCAGGCAATATTATCGCTTATCGCAATCATTTTTGAGACAATTAATCGCCCAGCAAAATTTGTTATCGTGACAGGCCTAGTAATATTCCACTCGTAAAGTGGAAGAAATGAAACTGCCCCCAGTTTCGATTTCAAGATGGAGGCTACTCGCAGCTTTAGAAAGTGAACTTTTACTATTAATTATCTTGCTTAATTTTTTGTGCATGTTTAATCACTTGCACAAGTAGTGTGTTTTCTGTGAAATGCTGTACGTGTTAAAATCAATGTTTATTTGCATGACGTATGTACATTGTTTACATTGTACCAGCATTGTAGCTAGGTTAGCAGCAACAATAAAATCGCCTGTCGGCTAACTGGAATGCAGTTTCGTATGGTTCGTTGGGAAATGACGTCACCACCATTTACCAGTTCCCGGAATACAATGTAAACGGAATGCAGCAAAAGACTGCGTTCGACTGGGTTCGATCCCCAGTTCGGATCGAACCCATGACCTTCTTGCCGTGAGTTGGTGCTAACCACTGAGCCGTCGTGCCCCTAGTCGGAACTCTGCGATGCCAACCTTGCGGCTTGGAGCATGTGATCACCACCATTAACAACAACAGAAAAGGTTTTTCCTCTGCTGACTCTTCACCCAAAACAACACTGATCGTTGAGAGAGAAAAAACTTAWCACTATTATGCAGACCCATTTAAAAAACTGTCCCTTTAACCCATTTCTATCTGCACCTATCCAGACAGAAACCACCTCAAGATAAACCATTTTCGCAGATGGAAGAATTTCTGTCAGTCTTCCCCAATGCAAAACTTTAAAAACAACAGGATCCCAGCTTACACCAACCAGGATTATTAGAAATATGGTTCTCACACCTTGGTCAACATCAAATTCAAGGACCTTTCAAGGACTTTCCAGTACCAATTTCCTCAAATTCAAGAACAACACGCAACGGCAATTCCCTACTGCTACAGCAGAATGTTGCCAATAAACATTTTTAATATAATGTAAATTCAACGAAAAACTGAACAACATAGAAGAAAGCTGATTAAATGTATACCCTACATTCAAATCTACAATAATGACATGTAATTATGTCCTGGGAGGTTCAGCAGCTCAGTTTGGGAAGAGGGGATGTGAGCATGTCCTGATGCTTGGTGAGGACAGGAGGAGATGTGGCGCTCTCATCTGGGCTCAGAAAAAACAACCCGCTCCGCTCTGCTCTGATTGGGTAAAACTATGACTATGGCTCACGTTAGTTGTTGAAAGCCACATCAGTTTACAGTAATCCTGAGTTATCCACCGCAACAAATGTAAGTTTTTAATTTATTTTATTATTTTTTACAGATGATGAAAATCAGTCGTGCGAATAGAGAACTTCAATCCCCCAAAAAACATTCAAGGACTTTCACGGAAAAGTGTAATTTTTGGCTGTTTTCACAAACTTTCCAGGGCCTTGAAATCATTTGTTCAAATTCACAAACTTTCAAGGATTCAAGGACCCATGGGAACCCTGTAGAAATGTATTACTATACAGTATATTCTGTAATCATCCATTGTGCCAGGCTCTTCCTGGTAACGTGAGCCTCTGAGCTCTTTGTCAGTCAGGGGACACTGGCAGCCATGTCCGTGAAAATCCCTGCCGAAGTTTTATTGGATGAGATTAAAGGTAGCGAGGAGAGGTGGGGGGGGGGGTGGAGCAAAGCATGACACAGCCAGGTGATGTCTCCACAGCAACGTGGGTCGCGTGCAAACATGAGCACAATGAACACAATAAATGAGGCCCGAGCTAAAACACAGTAACTTGCACCCAGCCTCCTGAGACTGTAGCGTTGTTGGCTGGAACGTGCACCTGTCTTCACCTCCACCGTCATCTATTCCTTCCTTCCTGGCAGCATGAAGTGTACAGTAAGAACGTGCCTCGGAGAGAACAGAGGGTGGTGAGAACAGGAAGTTGTGAATCACAGCAGCTCGACTTGCAGGCATCAATCAGAGACATTAAAAGCTTCAGTATTCGCACGGTCGGACTTCTCAATCGCACTGTTTTCTGTTTTTATTGTATTTCCTCAAGACAGACCCCTTCCTCTACAATCACTTACAAGGGAGGACGGTATAAGACGCTTGGTACGAGCACAAACAGGATTAGATCAGACGTCATCACGGGCCACATGGCTAAAAGCCTGACTCGAGAGATGGGGAAGGGTGAAGAATCAAACGTGCTGCCTCGAAGAAGAAGCGAAGAACACTCAGCAACCAAGCTCAGCTTATTCATTAATAAGATTAGAAAAAAAAAGTGATAATAAACAGATTTTAATGACCTTTGAGTCAGTTTGGACCTGCTCTCAACTTCAGCACACTTTAAAACCTCTGAATTATTTACTGTGTATTGATTAGATTTAAGAGCTCGTTCAAAGGCAAAATAGAAAACAAAGTAAACCTTGCATTGCGAACATCAAGACCAAAGATATTCATGTTAAGTTGCTTTCAGGTCCGAACCTCCCCTGGAAGACTTCTGTGATTTCAGTGAGATTTACCTGGTTAAACAAAGGCAAAAAAAAAAAATAAGTATAATAAAAATCTAATAGCATAATTGATTACGGATCACATGCAAGATTAAACAAACCGACTACTTGAATTTGTATTTTTAAGTAAAAACAAAGCCAAAATACAGGCAATCTTAATTTTTTTTGTTGAACATTTACAAGAAATAAATCCACTTTAACTCCATGAAATTAACTTATAAACAATATCTTATCTTACAGTAAATTTTACTTTGTGTAGTCATTATTATGCAGTCTGTGTCGCTGCATTTCTGGTCCAATTACCGCAACAGATAAGGATTTCACATCAACTTATGCTTTCCATTATCACTAGTTAAACACTAATTTAATATAACATGAAGTGGGTGACGACTTGGCTCGTTAGGCTACAACAGATACAAAACTGACACGAGTTCAGTTTATTATGAAAACAAATTGATCAATAAGATAAGTCTGATTAAAGCAGTACAACCAGGAGGATTATGAGCAACGTCTAAATCCTCCTTGTGTTTTTGGAATACAGGAATAGTTATTAAAATCATTTAGGATTATGCAGCGTTCAAAGGCTCTGGTTGAATATTTTTTCTGTTTATGTAAATGTAAAGGTTTGGAAAACAGCCTTTAATGGTTTAAGACAGGGCTATTCAACTGGTGGCCCGCTGGCCAGACGTGGCCCACGAGTGACCAAAGTTCGGCCCGCCAATTGGTTTATTCATCTCTTAAGCCCAAACCCCCGGTTTTCTACTTTAATTACTCTAAGTTCTTTTAGTTAAACATAGAAATGTTTGGTATCTACAGAAACGTCAGAATCTTGGCTAGAAGCTGGTAAAAACCATTTACATAAACACTCAAGACAGTTAAAACTACAAGCAGTTGAAGATAAAATGATGAAAGTGAAAATAAAATTGGTTTAAAATTTGGTAAATCAGAGATGTCAAAATATTACTTGTAATGGGAGGCAAAATGTGATCTTTTTGTTTTTGATAATGTTTAATTATCACTACTTTTATAGGGTTCTTTATGTTGTATTCACGATTAAATACAGTAAAATAAACTAATTCAAAGGTAACAGATCTTTGTAATACTTGGTTTATTTACATAATGACTTTAATTGCTGGATGTTCGGCCCCTCAGCTATTGACCGGCAGTAACTGTGGCCCCCGGAGCAATTTAGTTGAATAGCCCTGGTTTAAGACTTCTGTTTTGGCCTCACTCCAACTAGCTATTAGCTCATTGGCCCAATCAGAAAAAAGTGTTTCTCCAAATTGAGGTATTCAAACAGCTACCTACAACAGGTAAGATATTGATTGTTAACATTTCTTCCACAAAAAAAAGGGGGGGGGGGGGGGTGGTAAGCCTTGTAAATCTCATACACCTTACAGAAAACATTAGTGTGAATAAAAAACAAACAAACAACAGGTAATCCTTTTAGTTAAACATTCGATAAGATCAAGACAAAACTAAAATGTAAAGTTAAACTTTTACAGAAATAGTTGACTGTTTGAGCTCCAGAGTGTTTGCAACCAAAAACAGCCCTGTTTACCCAGCCACAGAGTAGGTTCAGCTAATAGGTGGTAGTTCAAGGCCTCTTTGAGGATACACACACATTAATGTGGTGTCAACATACACAAACACACACACATATATTATATGTATATAAGAATATTCCAATCAGATATCAAATGGTGCATAAGTAACCTTACAGGATCAGTGGGGGACAGTGTCAGAGAGGTTTCTCTGCCTGCAGGAACAGTCTGTTCAGGATGATTCAGGTGTTTTTACAGCTTCTGCTCCACTTTCTGACGATTAAGGGAACAAAAGAAGATCAATTGAGGATGGCATTTCTCTCTCTCTCATGCTTCMTTTGATAATGATGTGCACCTATTAAAAGGCCTATCTAGTGGCTGTCTGGAGCATCTTCCTATAATTTGGCATGATGTAACTGCATGCCGGATCTGTGTGTCTTATTGTGGAGGATGTGGCCCCGTCTCCTGCACCACAGTGCAACACAATAGGGCCGATGCACGAAATGCCGCATTTATGCCCAAGAGCAGCTCAAGTCCTGATTCATTTTACAGGTAATTACTCACTTTTAGATTCGCAGTCGGCGCAGTATTTGTTCTCCTCCAGCGCCAATAATGAGTTGAGGACCGCCTGATATCTGTCAACGTCTTTCACAGATTTGCCCGTCATCACGCTGCTGATAAAGTCCCCCTCCTTCCTTCTGCAGTCCGTGCCGGTGTGGCTCTTCTTGTCAAAAAAAAAAGCGGCTCCTTACTTCCCGAAATGAAAGCGGCGCGAGCGAGCAGAAAGAAAGGTGATGCGTTCAGTTCCTCCTCTGTTTCCTCCTCCTCGATGTGTGTGGAGACCAATGTTTTACAGAGATGGGATGAGAGCYTTACAGTCAACCGGCGTGCGCATGTTTTTTTTTTTTTTTTTTTTTTTTTTTTGAGGTACCCCAATCAGAAAGCAAGCGCGCAGGAAAACAACCACGTGATTTCCACAAAGTGCTTTCGTCTTTAAGCACATCTGTAACCTATCACTGGAGGTTTTAACTGGAAGCGCACGCACCTGTACTGCCGCCATGTGGCCAATTAGAGCACTACTATTGAGATTCAATGAATGGTTTTCTCCAGGACGCAAGAGGGCGCACAAGTACGAATCACAAGCAGGAAGTAACTTCCTCGTCACCTCATTGCAAAATGCACGCACCTTCAAAGTAAAATACACAATATGCTTTTTTCCCCTTAAACAACAAAATGTGCAAAATTTACACATAAAAATGTTTTTATATCCACATATGTGTATTATATTTAATACTAATTCACGTTTATTTATACAAATTGCGAATTCTTCATCAATTTCTCGTCCGTGTTTCTTTTATTTTTTAAGTAAAACCGGAAACGTTTATTATATTTGGGCTAACTTTTGTAAACAGGACGTGAGTGACGGAACTGGTGATTACGGAAATAACTGTTCAGCAGGAATCAAATAAATAAATAAAGGATTAATCTCGGGTTACCACCGGTGCAAGCCTATATCTCTTTCCACAATGTCTCGGCAGTCCAACCGAACAACAGACAGCAAAAAGATGGTAGGCGCCATCCGGCCCGCGGGATTAACAGCGACTAAGCTAACAAACTAGCAGAAGGCTAACCGTAGAAATGACTTACGTGTCCTCCGACTACCTCTTTCCTTTGCTCAGGCTGTTTGACAGTCATATGTTGTTTTTCAGCATGTGTGTTTATAAGGTTTGAAAGACAAATGAGCGTGTTAAATGTGTGTACCGTTCAATAATTTGAGAATAATTGCAATTCGTTTTAGCACACTAGCTATCATTGTTTATTTGGGATACATGTTAATACAGAATGTAGCTTATTGCCTGTCTATAAACGGTGGCTATGTTGCATATGTATAAGTTCTATGCTATACAATTTTATAGTAAATCTAACCGAATCTGAGTTGGCCATTAAATGAGGACTATTTAAATAAGACTAAGTAGAGATATCAACATTTGCCACAGTATCAAATATTAAGAGATTTTTGCTAACAGTCATAATTAATTATGAAAACAATCATGATTAACATGCAGGGTAATGTGAGTAAAACTCCTAAATCATTCTATTTATTGCAACACCAAAACAATTATGTGAGCTTTGTTGGTGCAGCAACCCAAGCCAGGACTTTTTTTTTTAGTTAGATGTTGAGAAATAATGGATTTACACAGTTAAGACACATGATTTTGCTATAATAATAAATGAGTGCAATGTGGTTAATGACATAGTGTGTTGTTTTAATTTTTATTAAAATTTTGATAAAATTGCAGCTGCATTTTTTTTCAGCACTAGGAGCTGTCTATAAACCAACTTACACAGACAAAAATGCAACTTATCTTTTTTTAAGTCTAAAATACATTGACAGATTTGATTAAAATAAAGTTTTTTTTTTTTGTAACTTCTGAGCAGAAAATGAATAATGGAAATATATTTTTTTGTTTCAGAACTCTGAGTTGTTCACACTGACCTATGGAGCTCTGGTCACCCAGCTCTGTAAAGACTATGAGAACGATGAGGAAGTCAACAAACAGCTGGACAAAATGTAAGGACACTTTCATTATTTTCAGATCCTTATGACCACCTGCATTTCATTATTTTTTCGTTCTTTCTTTATTTTTTGTTGTTGCAAAACCAGCCCTTGACATCACAGCCTAGACTCCATTAGAACCTGGCTAGTCCACTTTATTACTTGGCAACAAGTCAGCATCAGCAAGTTCTTGGAAACCCTGTAAGCTGACAAATGAAGCCTTTATGAGGTGGCCTTGTTTGTTCAGCACATCCCTCAGATTATTGATTAAATTGGTACATTGAAAATACAACAAGGTATTGTGATCTTCAAATCATTCCTAAAGGCTCTCTACAGCTTGTCAGAAATGAAAACAAAAAGTATTTCTCAGCCATCGGTGAACACAGTTCTAGTTAGGAAAATAACTTTGTGAACACATCAGTGTTTAGATAGGTAGAAGGTTTTTGTTACACCACTCACATTCAGCTTCTTGTTATCTCTCAGCGTGTGCACATTTCTAAGCCTGACAGATGTAACCCTTAATGCACCAAAATGTGAGTTTTACCACCTTTCATTTAAAGCATTATTAACCATCTTTTAGCAGTTTTAGCTGCAGTAGCTCCTCTGCAGGATCACAACATGACTTCGCTTTTGCACGCGTCAGTCGCAGTTTTACAGGTTGTCCTTTAAAGTATTTTTAGACGTTTGAACTACTGCACTACCACACTTTAAGACAAGTATGACTCGTGCCTAAGTTGCTCAAATTCTTAAGTGTCCCGATTTTGTTCTGCCACCAATGCATTTACTTAAACAGAAGGTTTTCATACTGATTGTAACTCCCCTCCTAGAGTACTTAATGTTTTGGCAAATCTGTTATCATTCAATCATCTTAATTATATCTTTGAAGTTATTGATTCAGGTAAAGGATGGCACAGTCAGCACACGTTAATGTTATAAAATATTCAGACTTTTGCCTTACATGTCACAATACAGTGACTTGTAATGTAGTGCAGTGGGTCCCAAACTTTTTATCTTCTGACCCACAAAATATTCATGGCAAAAACCTGTGACCCCAAATATTACTGGTCTGAGGACATGAACTTTGTTAATAACCCTAAAAACACAGGCTTTTTTGACACAGCTTGTACACAAACATAAATACTTATTTATACTTATTTTGTGTTTTTGTAATAGTTATAGGGAAAATATTACATCAACAATTATTT